TAACAGTACTTCACACTGTGATGGGATTTGGCAAATGTTAGTAGAATTTAGTTAACTAAATATTTAAATCTAACTTACTCGACTGAATTGTGGGTATAGCGCATAATTGCGTCACATGTTTGCTCTTGTTTTAAAAACATTAATTCATTTAATTTTGTCATTATTATCATTTTTTAGACATTTTTATCAGAGAGAGAGATAGAGGCAGTGAAAAGGAAAGTGAGAAATCAACCCTTGTGGGGGATGGCCATGCTACAATTCCTTCTCTTCCATTCTCCCAAGATCTTGGGCACACATGTGTATGTGCCTAGCATGAGTTTCAAGCCACCAAGTCTGGAACAAGAACTCCAGTCAGCCATGTAGAAGTCCAAGGACATGACCACTACACTACCTGAAGTCCCATATTATTGTTATTTTTAAATTTGCTTCAGGGTGCATTGCACTCACGAGAGAGAGAGAGAGAGAATGCAAATCGCCAGGTCTAGGACTTGAACTGCAGTTTGCCATGTGGGAGTCCAGCTCCTTAACCACCATGCCACTTGCTGGCCCCACATGTTTGTTCTTATTGGTCCTACAAGTGGGATAGATTTTAGAAAATACCAACAGATGGTTTATCTAACTGGTATGATGAATTTCAAACAGATGGTCAGAAATAATGCCAAGCCCTTTTCTTCTTTTGATTCCTTTGATAATTATATGGTTACCCTTGACATAGATTTGGTTTGATAGCCAAAATTATTATCATTCACTACATTCTTCTTTCTGAGAACCCTGAAATCAATGTGACGGTTCAACACGTTTATATAGGCAGTTTTCTCTGGATTGAATAAATCGTCTTGTTTGGATGATTTAAAAAATATTATTTTTTAAGTTCTGGATATTTTTAGGAAGATGTATGTTTTATTTATTAAAATCTAATTTCTTTGGCTTTGACATAGACATTATCTGACAAACAAATTTTTTTCCATAAAGCTATTTTTTAAAAAAGAATTTAGCATCCATCTACTCAATGTTTATTAATCCAGGTAAAATGAAGATATACATTTATAAAAAGATATGTGCATTAATGTTCACAGTATCTATACATAATACCTCACATTTGAAGGAATCCAAACTGTCTATAAAAAAGAAAATGGAGTGGGGCCGGCACACAGTATGACTGTTAAAGGTGCTGGACTCCCACATGGCCAACCATGATTTGAGTTCCAAACCTAGTGGGTTGCTTTCTTACTTTCCTTTTCTCTCTCTAATTCTCTCCTTTGAGTGCATATGCCCTACAGTAAATTAAATAATAATAGTACTAGTAAGTAAAATTAAATAAATAATTATTTTTAAAAAGAAAATGGAGAAATCTTTTGTGACATATTTGTACAATGTAAATTTACAAGAAAAATATTTTGGAGTCAGCAGGAGGTGTGGAGGTTAAGACGGCTAGATCCCACATGACTGACTCTGCAGATGGAATCCTGGACTCTGTAGCTTGAAAAACACATGCCAGGCATGTGTGCATTTGTGCCCCAAACCCCACGAGGAGAAGGAATTTCAGAGTGGTCATCTCCCCAGGGGAGATGGGCTCTCTGTCTCTCCCTATTGCAAAAACTAAAATTAAAAGAGAGAGAGAGGAGAGCGAGAAATAAAGAAAAAAAAGAAATATTTTGCCTCAAGTAATGCGGTCTGTAGAAGACAGGTATAGTTTGTTTGTTTGCAGTTTGTTTCTTTATTCCATGAGTGACAGAGACAGAGAGAAAGAGATCGATAGGTAGGAAGACAGCATCCCAGTAGGGTCTGGATGCTTCAACTCCCCTCTCGTCTCAGCCAGCCACAGATGGTGGGCAAGTGTGTGCCTGGCAAGTCAGGGAGTTCTCAATGTGAAAGCAGAACTTTCCATGTGGGTCAGCCTCTCAGACGGTAGTGTTTTATCATGAGGCCACTATCTGGCCCCAAAACCAAGGGCAGTTTTTACCTGTATAGAAATTATTTTTCTATTCTCTTTCAACTAATTATAATTTTTTAATAAAAAAAATCTGACTGGTTATAGGAGCATGAAGGAATTTAATGAAAAAAATCTAAATATTAACAATGTGGAATCATAGTTCTCAACCTTGACTACATACTGAGTCACCTGGAAAGCTCTTGAAACTGCAATACTCAGTCTCCACTCTGAAAATTGTTAAACCATGGGAACCAGCAGTTAGTGTAATGGCTATGTCGCTGGACTCCCACGTAGTCTACCGTGGTTCGTGTCCCGGACCCGGTGGCTTAAAACTCACGCCGGGCGCGTGTGCGTGCGTGCCCAAGATCCCAAGAGGAGAAGGGATTGCGGCGTGACCATCCCCCCGGGGGGTGATTTCTCGCTTTCTGTCTCTATGTCTCTCTGTCTGTCTGGCGAGCGTACGCGCCCTACAGTGAAAATCTCTCAAAAAAAAAAAATTGTTAAACCAGAGTTTCTGTGGTCAACAAGAAAACAAATTCCCTCTCTCAACAACATATATGAAAAAACTCCATTATCATTTTACCATTTGATTCTCTTCTGTCTAGGTAGGTTATATACATTTTGGAGGGTCGTTGTGCTAATTACTAATGTTTAATAAACCTAATAAGGTGATTCTCTTAAAAGCATAGTTTCTAATCATACTACTAATACATCTTCAGAAATCTTTGGAGTAGCTTAGGTCCTCCTAACCTGAAAATATGTTAAAACAGGGCACTAAAATGTCCTTTGATAATGTGAAAAGAGAGTCAGGTATGCCATTTTATTATTGAATAATGTTAGCTTTATTATTGTAATAGAATACAGTATGACATAAAATTAAGAGCTTTTGCTAAACTCTGTAAAGCAATACATGCATCTGCCATAAACAACCTTGATTCATGTTAGGTTTTATTGCCACTTCACTGCACTAAGGTGCAATAAACATTCAGTGTCATCTTTTTAAAAAATTTCCTGGGAGTAAACAGGAACTGTCCTCTATAAGAGTGTATCTTTATTTCAAGGAAGACTTAACTAGTATTACATGGTTTAGCAAAGCACTGTAGAAAAGCTACATAGAATCATTTGTCTTTGATAAACTGTGCAATCAATTTATACAATAGAATACTATCCACATATACTAACAAACTAAGAAATAATAAGAATGCAGTCATTGCATAGCAGAAAGCAGACTAATAAGAAATATTCACATCTAATGAGCAAAATACAGAACAAAAGTTAGCGATGAGGAGTCTGGAAGATAAAATGCTCTCAGTAAACACATTAGGTTAACGCCGAAAAATAACAAGATAAACAGCAACACAGAAGTTAGAGCCATAATTTATTTTTTATTTTTATATATAATATCTACACATAATACCAGAGGATGAAATGTCCCTGGTTCAGCCTCTATCGGCCTAGCTTGCAAAATTTAGTTAGGACCAAATCAAACAATGAAGCACATTTAAAAAGAAAACCAGAGTTTGTTTAGGAAAACACAAACAGTGTATTTTCCTACATCATTGGGTAGCAGCTTTATGAAAAACAAAACAAAACATTGCTAGAAATTTGGGTAGAGCTCCCAACTGTCTTATTTGGTAATTGCTAACAGGTTTATGTCATAGTATTCTACATGTGTTTAAACCATGACCTGTGGATTCTGAACATTAAATTTAAATATCTGTGAAACTCTATCAGAAGAAAGGAGACTTCAAAAATACCTTCTGCAGAAATATTTATCTCTAAAACATCTGGGCAGTAATGAAACAGACTGGAATTTTGATAGGGAGTATTAATGAACCTTTTTTTTATTTATTTAAAGCCCTTAACAGAGTATACCTACAAATATATTGCTACAGTATAAATGAAATATAATAATATTACTCAGTAAAAGCTATTTCCTGTACATTCTTTCATGTATTTTATATTTAATGCTACATATGGTACAACACTTATTGAAATAGTTGGTATTAGCAAATATAGCATAATATACAGTTGTTTTCTAGTTCCAACTAATGCTTCCCATTTCTTTCTATTACAATGACTTAAAATAGGGAAATGTGGTATGGTGTGACTTGAACAGACAGCAGCTGATTGACAACTGCACATTGGACAACAGTTTGAAATGATAAACGCTCTACATGAGTGGACTCTATATCCATATATTTTAACTTCCATCTGCTTCCTACCGGCTGTTCTGTCCTTAAATGCAGGCTCTAAGTGTATTTCCGTAGCATTTAACAACATTCTAACAGCTAAGAGCGATGACTTCTACATATATTTTAAGAACACAACTTTAAAAAAAGTAAAAAAAGGTACAATCTCATGCCGTATATTTACATATATAATTTATATATTCTAGTTCTGTTTGCTAGTCATAAATTCCAGTCTAAAGCTTTTAATGTAGTTATATAAAAGAATACATTCAACAATTCTAGAGCTTGCAAAATAGTTTTGCCCCTCTAAAAACTTCTTCATAAGGAGAATCAAGCAATTATGGGACACATGTGCTATCTGGAAAGCGTCAGCATGGAAAGGGGAATATTTTTAAACCATTTTTATTTATTTATTTTAACTTCTAGTAAGTGCACAATTCTCCATCAACTCTAATGGAAAAAGCTCAGATGACCGTGAGAGAGCCTATTTAAAGCGTTTCTCTTCATTGGATTAAATGTGCTCTACAGTGAGCAACTGCACCTTGGCCTATGAAATTTCCACGAATTTTAAAACAGCATTTAACCACAAAACAAGGGAGTAGGCATTTTTGAAATGAGAAAGAGTAGGGGGTTCTTAGCTTTGGAAACAGATGCTAAAGCTATACATCAGTGTAAAAAAAAAAAAGTAAGCACACCACAGTTTGTGCAAGAAAGACAGGTTGTTAAAATTTTTTTCTTTAAACATTTATAATTTATTCTTTAAACACTTTCACATAAAAATATTTTGACATGTACAGTATCTTTTTTTTTTAGAATATTTGGAAATATATATCTACAAATGACCTAAGGGCTACTATAGATAAGTTTTACTTTTCTTCTACTTTTCTTCTTATCTTTGGACCTTCTCCCTCTTCCTTTTCTCTCATTCTGTCTCCTTTTGATGTTTTGCTTTCTTGCTTCCCCTTTTAGAATCCTGTCTCCAAACTGTGTTCTATGCACTGTTCTGGACTGTCAGACAGGGGTCTCTTATTCTTTTATGAATTATAGAAATAGGGAAACCTTCCAATTCTTTAAGACAGAGGCAATAAAGCAGATAGGAATTACTGCACTGAGAACAGAAAGCAATTCCCAGTGCAGAGGAATGAACAACAGAATGTGACTAGAAGGACCTACTGATGTGGTGTGGGAGCTTTTAGCTGAGGCTCTCTATTTAAATAGGTAGCCCAATAGACTAAGTTAAAGATTCCGAAGAGCAGCGGAAAGGCTATTCTTGAAAGTCGGTCAATTTTGCTGACACTGTTAAAGGTTTTCTTGGGTTCTGGTGGTTTCGTTTCAGGCTTGACTTCTTTTGGTTCTATGGTTGCACTTTTAGCAATGGTGGCTAAACCTGGGTCACCCCTGGCCAAATTAGGGGTGTAGCTGGTTGCTGTTGGAGCATAAGTGTTGTTTTTCTTAATGAGAGGATCCTTCACTTTCTTTGGCTATAGAAGGAAAGAATAAAGTATCCATTTAGTAAACTGTAAGAAGCAAAATTATAAGTAGCTGAACAAAGTGACTTTTACTTTAGAACCTAAATTTGTGCTTTATTTAAAATCTATGAAACATAATTTATGACATGCTACCATAAATTAAAAATGCTGCCAATATTTTACAGCCTTTGCCATCAAGATGTGGAATCTATTTCTCCATTCATTGACTCCAGAGTGGACTTGTGACTTCGGCAGAGTGATGCTTTGCAAGTTTAGTATCCTAACCTTCAGGAGCTCATCCTTCACCTTTTGGAATCAAACCACTGCCAAGTGTAGAAGCCCAAGACTAGATTACTGCATAACCAGAGACCACATGTAGGGAGAAGCATAACTGACCACCAGCAGACCTGTGAGAGAGGCTATCTTGGACCTTCCATTCCCGGGGAACCTCCAGCTAACTGCAGTTGCATGAGTGAGCCCTAGTCAGACCAACTGGAACATCACCAGGTTATTCCCTGCCAGATGCGGAATCATGAGGAGGTAATGAGCTATTGTATTAGGACACTAAGTTTTGGGGTGGTTTGTTTTGCAGCAATGAATTGTCACACCAACTCTCCTATGCTACTTTTCCTCTTGTTTCAAGTGAGCAAACAATAAAGAAGGACTATTCAGGGTGTCATGAATTCAAGTCTTGTTTTATTTTAGCTGCTCAGAAATACTATCTATGCAATGATTGACAACTGCAACTTTCTTAAGGTTTCGCTCATACAGACATTGCTAAAAAATAAATTGGATCTTTGCTTAGAGCTACATATTCTACATGCATATCACTAATCATGAAGATCTTTACTAGAGTATTTTGGTGACTCTAAGAGATGCATTTTAAAAAGTTTTCATGTCTAGTTTAGGCTATGTCTTATTATTGCTAGTGTCTTATAATGACACATTTCCAGGTTTGGTTCTGTCTCTTTTGGGTTACCCTTCTGTTCTGGGACAAATAAAGATCAAACCTTAATACCAATATTTGACAATAACTTTGTCTCTTTTCTCTCACCTTTTTGTCCAACTGATACATGCAGTCCCATTGTTCTGTCTCCTCTCTCCACTGAACCTGAATAAGTGTTCTTAGATTGCAAATTCAGAGCTTTTTATACTAGACACACTTTGTTGTTTGTTTTGAGAGGGAGGTTTTTGTTATAGAGCGCATGTGCTCACCAGAGAGACAGAGGGAGAGAAAGCAAGAAATCACCCTCCGGGGGGATGGCCATGCCACAATCCCTTCTCCTCCACTCTCCTTCTGGGATTTGGGGTACACACACATGCACATGTGCCCAGAGTGAGTTTCAAGCCTCCGGGCCTGGGACTGGAACCACAGATGACCAGGTGGGAGTTCAGTGCTTCTACAATTACACTACCTACTGGCCCTTGAACAAACGTGTTTTAAAGCAAGGTTAATTTCAAGGGCCAGAGACGTGTTAGCATCACAGATACTGCTACATGCTACACAGAAACTTCTGCACTTTTAGTTGGGTAGGAGACCACTGAGGGATCCAGCTCAACCACCTGTGGCTGAGAGTTCAAGCTCAAAGAGTTACATACTGCAGAATATGTTCTTCTTTATGTATGGTACATTTTAAGATTGGTAACCCCTTAGAGTTGCTAGATGTTACCACAACAAAGGATTTTTAAATATATTTGTGTAATTATGGTATAAACACAGGCTACTCATTTATTTACTGTAGACCCTCTCAGACCCTGTAATATTCCGTGACTAGCTGATAAGGTATGCAGCAGTGTTTACATGGGTTTGACCACAGAACTGAATTTTCAAAGCCTGTCTCAAGATATGAGCATTCTGTTAAATGTATTGGAAAGACTTGAGGTGAGCAATACCTCCTAGATTATTTCTAAACATATTAAAGTCTTTGTCTCTCTAATTTTGCCTTTCTTCTCACCATGCTAAGGCTCACTTTGAACACACTTTCTTTCATACACCAGAAATAGAAATAGTTTCACTAGTGATGACATCAAATTCATACTTTATAAAGGTTCTATGGAGAGGAGCAGCAGTGTTACATATATATATATATATATGTCCATATAATTTTTCATTGATATGTAATATTTATGGGTTCAGTTCAGATTTTTTAATATATGCACATAATGTGTGATGATCAAATTAGGGCAATAAACATATCCATCATCTCAAATATTAATCATTACTTTGTGTTGTGAACATTTGACATCCTTTTTCCAGCTATTTTGAAATGTAAGTTGAATCGTTACTAACTACTGTTACTCTACTATGCTGTAGTACTCTAGAATTTTTTCTACCTATCTGCTTGCTTTCTTGCATGGGTCAACCAAACAGTATTCTTTACGCAATAATTTTCTATCTTGAGTGATTTCTTGATAGATTCTATGTGTTAGGATTTCTAAAGCAAATACCTATTTTGTAAAGAAAATATGTGCCTGCTCTAGACTTCACTGAAAATTGGAGAAAATTTATTTCACAAACACCATTCAACTGAGATGTAATAGTAATAAATTTATGACCATATTTGAGATATGTTTGTATCTCTCCTTTATCTCCTTCCCTTCATTCTATATATCTGTTCACTAAAACAACTTCTATACTTAACCATAACAAAATTACCATAGCATTTACATGATATCATAAAAATATGTCTCTTCATTATCCTTTCTCTGTATGTTTCCACCAATCCCCCAAGTCCACATACTATCTCTTAGGTTTAAAGAGACATAATAGTGATATGTCACAGGGACCATTAAAGTATTTACCTTTTCTGGAACCACACTTTTGCCATCCCATGCATAACCTCTCTTGGTAAAATAGTTTACTGTGGCAAACTCAATCAGAGCTGAGAACACAAAGGCATAACACACTGCAATAAACCAATCCATAGCTGTTGCATAAGCCACTTTAGGGAGGGAATTTCTGGCACTGATACTCAAAGTTGTCATTGTGAGCACAGTTGTTACTCCTAGAAGGAAAGAAGTTGAGTATGTTATTTCACACCACAAAATTTCATCACTGGATGTTAGCCTACTTGAACAAGGGGAGACCAAGTATGTAATATGGTTTCTAGAGCATTTCACTTTGGTTTGAGATGGATGAGTCTTATTTTAACCTTAGTGTAGTTTATGGTTCATGACATGGAGATATTGAGGAAGACATCTCATAGGTATAAAATGCTCTGCTATTGAAAGGCTATTAAGACACTAAATTCCTTTAAATAGGCAACATGAACATGGTGTCCTGGGTAGGATATAAAATAGCATTTTTTATTGTACCCAATATTGAGATAGAAATCACAGGTCTTCATTGCCTTGAATCCACAAGAAATCTCTATATCCTCATCTCTGATTAATTTTCTCTGTACTCCAAATATATAAACTAGAAAGCCAATGACTTTTTTGATAATTTATAATTAAACTATTTTAAGATGACAATTTTCTGTATTTTTCATATTGTTTCTATTTATCATGTTCCAAAACAGCCACTCTTTTAAAGAAATTTCCAAAAATCCACATATGGATAGATTAGTTAGATAGCGATGATAGGTATAGATATAGAATATAGGTTTTATGTAACTTGCTTGAGGTCATCCAGCTAAGAACTGTCAAAATCAAGGTTGAACTTAAGGTCATCTGATTCAAACATCTATGATCTATCCTTGTATCTAATACTGTCTCATGGTCCCTATTCTTCAAATCTATTTCTAGTGATTTAAATGACCTATGTATTCAAGTCAATTCTTTTCAGTTTATTTAGATAATTATGGGAGTTGTGTTGTGAAAGATTATTTCCTTTAGTATTCATTTTTAAAATTTATGTTGTCACCTTATTGTACAAGGGAACTTCAGAGAGTTTGTGAGAAATGGAATTAAAGTCAGAGTTATTTTGGTGCAAAAGTTTTGAAATTCATGAACAGTTTTTTTCATAAGAATTATTTTCCATGAACCTTTAGAAGACTCTCTCATGTGTACTACTAGGTAAAAAATTATAATGCTATATGGTTCTTTTTAAACCACTTGAAGACGTTTAAAACACAATTCACAGTAACACAGGGTCTATCAGATTACATATCTTGGAAAAAACCTGACGTTTTTGAGTGACTAATCCCAGACTCATCTTTTATTAGTTCTATAGCCTCAGATAAGTGAATTAACTTATAGAGATCTCAATCTTATGTGGGGAAAAAAAAAGATCTTTTCCTTTTTCTTCCCCTCTACTGTCTATACTATCACTTAAATTTTAGGACAGAGAACTTTCTGTCCAGTCACTCACAAGATGATTGTAAGGATTAAATATAATACTTGAAAGTATTCTGAAGATTATATATAAAGTATTGCTGTGGAGGTATTGTCACCCCATGTATCTGAAAGACATATCTATGATTCCCCCTTTTTAATTAATTTTAGAAAAATCACTAGAGTCACACAGCTGGTAGGAGGCTAATTTTAATTTTGGTTGCTTTAAACCAAACAGCATTCCTTATTTTCCAGGAATGTCAAGATCGTGACCTTTGTAACTACAATAGGGAGTGATAACAATACAACTAAGAAGAAATATTGTAAAAATTTTTCTTAAATTGTATTTTAGACAAAGGACAACAGTTAGAGGAAACATGTTTATTTTGAGCTTTGGAGTCGTTACAAAAGGTTATGGGGCACTACCATATTACATAACCACAAATGGTTTAAGGAATAGTGGATGGAAAATTGCCCTTAAATTTACATACCAATATTTACTTGAGCAAATAACAAGGTAATTAAAAGTCAGTATTTGGGGAACAGAGTAACCCAGTTTCAAGTCTCAGTTCTATAATTGCTGAGTGACCTTGGAAAAATTGCCTCACAATTGAGTTTCTGTTTTCTTTTTCTCATTTCTTCTTTGTAAATTGGTTTTAATACCTTACTCAGAAGGCTACTATGTGGAAAGCGTGCGCACCCTTTAGCAAAAACCTCTCAAAAAGAAAAAAAGGCTACTCTATGAGTACTAAATAGGAAAATATAATCAAATGTTTAGCAGTTAGCCTGATTCTCAGGGCCAAATTAATGACTATTTTTTATAACTTCAGTCATTTTTGCTAAATGGCAACAAATTCCATTTTTGTTCAAATTTGGCTTATGGACACAGCTGTCACAAGATGCTTGAAAATGGGTATTCTTAACCAAATGGGTTCATAAATTAGGAGCACTTAGAATAACATGAAGAAGAGTGTATGTGTGTGTGCACACATGTGCATATGCTTGTGTTAGCTTATCTTCTTGCTATAGTAAAAGAAAAAGGAGCAAAAATGTGTTGAACAGCTGTTAAGTTCTCAGAACTGAGCTTGACAATTTATACATTTTTATTTTCCTCATTTAATTATTTTAAGCAATGCTATTTCACTTTCCTGGGATGTACTCTTATTTTACAGGAAACTGAAGCTCAGAAAGATTAAGAAAATGGGCTTCCAAAGTCTCTCAGCTGAAAGACTGTGAGATTAAACCTTAAGCCTGGATCTGTTAGAAAAAGTCACATGATCACATTAGCTCCAAAGTTACCTCCAAGGGAGGCCAAGAATATGACCTTTGGAGACCAAAAACAGATATGAACTTTGTGTGTTCTGAATGCTTTCTCATAAACTGTTAGAAAGTATCACTTTTATTTGGATTTTTTTCTTTTTTTTGGTATTTCTTTAAATATCTGTGATCCTCTTGGGCATCTCGCAAAGCTCAGAAGAATGTGCTAAGTTCAGACTAAAAAGAGTAGAAACACATGTACTAAGTAAATGTTAAAAGGCTAAAGGTCTAGAAAAATTGTATTTGTGAGCCTGCTGAAACTGAACTTAAAAACCATTAAAAAATATAATTTGATACACAGAAATACTTGCCTGAGCTAAGTTTACCGACATATACTTATGTTCACCAAAAGGGCATGAATTGATAGAGATATAAAATTGTTAAAAATGTTAAGAGTATTGTTTTTTTACTAGAAAACAGCCTATAAAGCTTTAGAGAATTCTCAAATAAAAAGAGTAGGATTTTTTTTTTTTTTGAAGTGGAAGGGGAAAAAAAGTCATCATTTAAAAAAAATCTTCCACTGCAATGTTGAATTAATTCTACAATCATGAAATAAAGCAAAAGTATCTTCTGTGTGCTGCAGTATATTCATGCCTAGAAAGTCCATTTTGCATGCTGTAAAGAAATACAGTAATTAAATTTAAAAAATAAGAGATTTTTAAAAAAGAAAAGAAAATGGTAGATAAATACTATCCACTTTTGGTAAAAGGGTGGAAAAAAAATATCCACCATAAATGTTGTGAATCCAAAAAAGAATTTTATGATGGAAAAATGCATTTGGTATATTGTTATGATATACAGTGATTAAATGTAAATACACTAAAAATAAATGAATATAATTAATTAATTAATTTGTATAGAGCTGGAAAAAAAGAATAACTGTTCTGGTGAATAGAGGGTTCAAATGGAATATACATATAGAGGTGAGTATCATATTAAAAATTCAGTCTTTAGTGGCTTCAATGTTAGTTAATATTGATAAATGGTGCTAAAGAAACATGAGTTTAAAAATAAACTAATCTTTGTTCTGCAACTGAAATCATTTTGAATCTTAAATTAGCTGTGTGCTTAAGCTATTATCAGAGTAAATAGTTGTTAGTTTTCAGTCTGGAAGCACCTTCCCAAATTCTGAAAAAAAGAAACTTTTCTGGGCACTAGTAGCTGAGTCTTGCTTTGATTTTTTTCTGAAACAGCTGATTTTTCATCCCTTGCATATTATTGAAGGATGATGCCATAGGAATCTCTGCATATGAATAATCATCATTTTAGATTGTGAACTTTATAAGACTTCTGAAGTGCTTGGATGGTGTTTGCGGAATGAACCTTGATAATTGCAAATTTTTCTAATAAACATGTGGTCATTTGTAAGTGGATGCCCTTGACCACAAGGTTCATGCCTTGTGCTTGAAGAAGTACAGCATCATTGTGAAGAATATAGATTGCAGAGCTAAGGGTTTGGGTTTTAACTTCTGACTGTTTCACCTAATAGCTTCCAACCTTGGGAAGGTTACTTAATTTATTATTCCTTAGTTTCTGCTTTTAGAAAATGGGAAATATAATAGTTTAAAAGATTTTCTTAGGGTTAAATTGGTAAATAGGCTAATTGTATGGTATAGTCCTTGGAATAAAAAACAATCTACAGATATTATCTATGCTTTATATGAGTATTCAAATTTTAAGCAGTAGAATATAACCTTCCTGAGGAACAAGCAATGAGATCGAATTAGTAATAAATAACTTCCTAACAAAGAAAAGCCCAAGTCTCAATGTTTTTACTTCTGAATTCTACAAAACTTTTAAAGAAGAGATAATCTTATTCTACTTGAACTATTTCTAAAGATCCAAAAGAAAGAAACCCTCCCAAATTCATTTTATGAAGCCTCTATTACCCTTACCCCCAAACAAAGACATAACAAAAAGGAAATCTACAAACTATTATCTCCAATGAATATAGATTTAAAAATTCTCAACAAGATAATAGCAAATCATATTCAATGACACATAAAAAATATTATACACCACAACTGGCTTTATTCCAGGGATTCAAGACATGGTTTAACATATGGAAAACCCTAAGTGTAATGCACCATATTAACATAAAGAAAGAAAGATAAAAAACATATGATCATCTCAATTGATGCAGCAAAAGCATTTGATAAGATACAACATCGCTTTATGATTAAGACTCTAAGCAAAATCAGTGTATAAAGGACTTTCCTCAACACAATAAAAGCCATATATGAAAAACCCATAGCTAACATCATACTGAATGGAGACAAGGTGAAAATTTTCTCACTAAAAACTGGAACAAGGGAACCAGCAGTTAGCGTAACGGCGATGTCGCTGGACTCCCACGTAGTCGACCGTGGTTCGCATCCTGGACCTGGGGGCTTAAAACTCACGCCGGGTGTGTGTGCGTGTGTGCCCAAGATCCCGAGAGGAGAATTGAGGAGAAGAGATTGCGGCGTGACCATCACCGCTGGGGGGTGATTTCTCGCTTTCTGTCTCTATGTCTCTCTCTGTCTGTCTGGTGAGTGCACGTGCCCTATAGCGAAAATCTCTCAAAAAAAAAAAAAAAAAAAACTGGAACAAGACAATACTGCCCACTTTCTCCACTGCTTTTCAATATAGTACTGGAAGTCTTTGCCAATGCAGTAAGATAAGAGAATAAAATAAAAGGCATCAAAATAGGGCAAGAAAAAGTGAAATTATTTCTATTTGTAGATGACATAATTATGAATATAGAAAACCCAAAATAATCTGTGGGAAAAAAAACTTCTAAAAGTGACAAATGAGTACAGTGAGGTGGCAGAATACAAAGTCAGCATACAAAAATCTATAGCATAACTATACACCAACTACAGCAGACTGAGGTAGAATTGAAAAACCAATCCCATTTACAATAGCCATAAAAAAGTACAAGGTAACTAGGAATAAACCTTACCGAAGAAGTCAAAGACCTCTACAAGGAAATTATAAAAAACTAACAGAAGAAACTAAAAATTACATACAAAAAAAGTGGAAAGATATGTCATGTTATTGGATTGGAAGAATTAATATAATCAAAATGTCAATTCTAACCAAATTAGTCTACATATTTAATGCAATCCCAATCAAATTACCAGAGATATTCTTTACATATTTAGAAAAAGCAGTCATAGAATTTGTCTGGAATTATAAAGGACTCCATGTTGTGCAATACTACACAAGAACAGTGGAGTAGGAGGCATCTCACTCTCTGACTCCAAAATATATTACAAAGCTAGTATCATCAAAACAGCATGGTAATGGCACAAAAACAGAAATGTAGACAGATGGAACAGAATAGAGATTCCAGAACTAAACCTCAAAACATACAGCCAACTGAGTTTTGACAAAGGCCACCAAGTCAATCCAGTGGGTAAAAGAAAATCTCTTTAGCAAATGGTGCTGGAAAAACTGGGTATCCACCTGCAGAAAGATGAAACTGGACCCCTATATCTCACCATTAACAAAGATCAACTGAAAATGGATCAGAGATCTAAACCCAAGACTTCAAACTGTAAAACTACTGGCAGAAAACACAAGGGAAATTCTTGGAGACATTGGAGTAGGCAAAGAATTCTCAAATAAGACCCCCAAAGTACAGGTATAATCCCAAAAATGGACAAGTGGGATTAGTTCAGATTAAAAAGCTTCTTCACAGCAAAATAAACAATAATTACAGTGAGTAAAGAACAATCAGAGTGAGAGAATATATTTGAAAAATATGCCTCAGATAAGGGACTAATAATCAGAATATACAAGAAACTCAAGCAACTCACCTGAAAAAAAAATGTTCAGCCCAATTAAAATATTGACAAATGAGATGAACAGACAACTCTCTAAGAAGACATATGGACAGCCAAAAAACATATGGAAAAATACTCAACATTTCTTATCATAAGGAAGCTAAAAATCAAAATCACAGTGAAATACCACTTAACCGAAGTCAGAATGGCAAAGATTAAAAAAATAAAGAATGATAAGTGCTCTCAAAGTTGTAGAGGAAAGGGAACTCTCCTACACTGTTGGCTGGAAGTAAATTAGTACAGCCACTGTGGAGAACAATATAGAGATTCTTCAAACCCAATGAATAGAATTACCATATGATCCAGCAATTTCACTACTGTGTATCTACCCAAAGGATAGAAATGCACTCTGTAGGAAAAATACTTCACATCCATGTTTGTTGTGGCATTATTCATAATTGTTAAGACGTGGAACCAACCCAAGTGCTCACAAACAGTTGAATGGATTGAAACAGTGTTGTACATATACACTACCTGATATTACTTAGCCATTAGAAACAACAAAACTCTGACATTTGATAGCTAGTGGATGAATATGGAAGATTTACTTCTAAGCAAACCAAGTCAGAATATAAAAGAGAGGAACTGTATGTCCCCACTCAATATATATCTAATGTCTGCACTCTATGGTAGAAAGTAAAAGATTGGAAGGTATAAAGGCATGGAGAGTAACAGTGGATTACTAGAGACAGTATGGGGGGGAAGTGGGACATGAAGGACGGTAGAGAAAGGAAAACAAGGGGGAAAATAAAGAAGCAAAGCATTTAAGGGACATAAAAATGTAAAATTATCTGTTGATGTTAATATGTATGGTAATATTTTTGACTGAATCAATATACAGTGTACTCAGGATGAGAAAATTCATTTGGTTTGCTCTAATAATACACAGTGGTTGAATATATATATAAAATAATTAAATAATTTTCTAAAATTCTCCATTAGATTGCTCTAACAATAAACATTTAATTATTTAAAATATTTTAATAGAAAAAAAGGATATTTGTAACTCTTCAGGAGTGTACACATTTGATAAAGTGAGATATGTACTGAATTATGTGCTGAAATAACGGTTATCAATACACTCTTACCACTTATACAAACCCTCTTTCATACATTTAAGAAAGTAATTCTGCTGCTATTTTCCAAAACTTTCAAAAATGTTCTGATACATGTTATTTTTTTAACTATATGGCTTAAACTTTTCCATGGATGTGTTTTTAAATTAGTATGAAACATTTTATGCCTGTTTTACTTCATTTCTATCTCAAAATGTCAAGTCAAATGTTCATTAATCCTATCTATACATATGCACTAAAACAGCTTGCTATTTAAAGAAAGTATTTTTTAATCACACCATTATGAAAATTGCAATCCCTAAAGCTTTATAGTGAGCTAACTTAAGATTTGAATGTAAAATTTTTTTCATTCTGTTCACAAAGTCACAAACATGATTTAATTGCCCTCCAGACCTTTGCATGCATGTCTTGATTGACACTTACCAAAGACAGTTCTTGCTGGTACTGACTCTCTGTTGAGCCAGAAGGAGACTTGAGAAAGAATAACTGTCATTATGCATGGCAGGTATGTTTGAATAACAAAGTAGCCAATCTTCCTCTTCAAGTGGAAATGAGTGGTCATAACAACATATTCTCCTGGAAGGTAAAACAGACAGATTGAACAATTTGACCTTGGAAATAAATAACTTTTCTGTGAGGTTTGACATTAATAGTGAAGGCCTAGAGGTCAGACATCTTTTTTCCATGGGACATCCAGTTCCTAGAGAGAAAAGCTTTTATCCAGTAGGAAAAAAAAAAAGCATTTAAATTTTTTTTTATCATATGGTGCGTGTGCTCACTAGAGATAAAAAGAGACAGAAAGAGGGAAAGTGAGAAATCACTTCTCCCCTGGGGGTCATGGCCACAGCCACACTGCAATCCCTTCTCCTCCATTTATTTCCTGGGACTTGGGGCATATAAGTTTTTTTAACACACACCAACATGACTGTAAGGATAAGATCAGGTTCCAGAGTTCACACATATACTCTTGCCTATTAATTCTGGTGTGTGTGTGTGTGTGTATATATATGTATATCTATACCTTTCTATATCATCTATATCTATATCTATATATCTGTTCCAGGATAAATTCTACTGAAGATTTGATGTGCAAGTGCAAACATTTGTATTCTAGTTCTACCTCTTCCTTAAGTAGCCCTTTGAGCTCAGATGAGGGTTTAGTTTGGCCTGATCTGCAAAGTAAGGAAAATGGGCTAGAGTTCATATTTCCTCAAAATGTATTCCCAACAATAATCTGGAAAGTTATTGAAAAATGCATTTCTTCAAATCCTACCTAGATTTAAAAACTGCTGTCATTTAAATATGTCTCTTAAAATTTCATGTGATGAAATTTGGTTGTAAAGGAATTAAGAGGATTAAAACTTAATCTGACTAGGTGTTCCAGTAGGTGAGAAAGTTCTTATGTAATCTGGAAATATCATAAAAAAATCAAATGGAACTGAATGACAGCTGTAAGGAGGAACTCAAGCCTCCCTTGAAAGTATTAAAAGTAGGCTAGATCATACAGAAGATCGAATCTCAGATATAGAAGACAGAATGTAAAAGACAGACTCACTGAACTGGAACAATCCACCACGAAGAATAAGAAAATAGAAAAAAAAAAACACTGAGAATAATATACGAAAATACTAGATACCATTAAATATTCAAACATCCAGATAATTGGTATCCCAGATGGTGAAGAATCCAATAAGGGCATTGATAATCTATTCCATGAAGTCCTGGAAGAAAACTTTCCAAACCTAGAGAAGCATTAAAAGATCCAGACCCAAGAAACACAAAGGATTTCAAATAGAATCAACCCAAGAAGATCTTTTCCAAGACACATTATAGACATCTTTTTTTCCTGGGGCATCCCGTTTCCAGAGAGAAAAACTTTTTTCCCGTAGGGAAAAAAAAAAAAGCATTTAAATTTTTTTTTATCATATGGTGCGTGTGCTCACTAGAGATAAAAAGAGACAGAAAGAGGGAAAGTGAGAAATCACTTCTCCCCTGGGGGTCATGGCCACAGCCACACTGCAATCCCTTCTCCTCCATTTATTTCCTGGGACTTGGGGCATATAAGTTTTTTTAACACACACCAACATGACTGTAAGGATAAGATCAGGTTCCAGAGTTCACACATATACTCTTGCCTATTAATTCTGGTGTGTGTGTGTGTGTATATATATGTATATCTATACCTTTCTATATCATCTATATCTATATCTATATATCTGTTCCAGGATCATTTCTACTGAAGATTTGATGTGCAAGTGCAAACATTTGTATTCTAGTTCTACCTCTTCCTTAAGTAGCCCTTTGAGCTCAGATGAGGGTTTAGTTTGGCCTGATCTGCAAAGTAAGGAAAATGGGCTAGAGTTCATATTTCCTCAAAATGTATTCCCAACAATAATCTGGAAAGTTATTGAAAAATGCATTTCTTCAAATCCTACCTAGATTTAAAAACTGCTGTCATTTAAATATGTCTCTTAAAATTTCATGTGATGAAATTTGGTTGTAAAGGAATTAAGAGGATTAAAACTTAATCTGACTAGGTGTTCCAGTAGGTGAGAAAGTTCTTATGTAATCTGGAAATATCATAAAAAAATCAAATGGAACTGAATGACAGCTGTAAGGAGGAACTCAAGCCTCCCTTGAAAGTATTAAAAGTAGGCTAGATCATACAGAAGATCGAATCTCAGATATAGAAGACAGAATGTAAAAGACAGACTCACTGAACTGGAACAATCCACCACGAAGAATAAGAAAATAGAAAAAAAAAAACACTGAGAATAATATACGAAAATACTAGATACCATTAAATATTCAAACATCCAGATAATTGGTATCCCAGATGGTGAAGAATCCAATAAGGGCATTGATAATCTATTCCATGAAGTCCTGGAAGAAAACTTTCCAAACCTAGAGAAGCATTAAAAGATCCAGACCCAAGAAACACAAAGGATTTCAAATAGAATCAACCCAAGAAGATCTTTTCCAAGACACATTATAGCCAGATTGACCAAAACCACAGACAAAGATACTAAGATTGGTAAGAGAGAAATGTCAAATTACCTCCAAAGGATATCCCATCAGGCTAACAGTGGACTTCTCAACAGAAACTATGTGAGCAAGGAAGAATGGAAAAAGATGTTCAAAGCGTTGAGAGAAAAACAATTTCAACCAAGAATACTATACCCAGCAAGATTATCCTTCATATGGGAAGAAAAGACAAGGACATTCTCAAATAAACAAAACCTGAAAGAATTGACTGACATCAGACCAGTTCTCCAAGAAGCTCTGAAGGGAGTGCTATATCAGGAAAACTAGACACACAGAAATAAGAGTTCAAAAACAACTAAGAAAATGGCCAACTTAATGGTAGGGACAAATCCAGAGTTGAGTATTATCTTCCAGAAATTAAACAGAAAGACGAGACCACAACAGAAAATAGATTAAGTACATGAGACTGTTCTAGTGAAATAGAATTTTATGACTTCTGACTGAAACATTACTGATTTCTTTCTATGCTTTGTTTTCCAGATTGGGGGATTTCTGCCTTCTCTTGAGCTGCCAATAGGTTTATGTACCTACTGTTTGAACAGAATCCTAACCTGTTTCTTGTCTTAATTTTTCTTCATGTGTTATTTTCTCAATTACAAATCTTAGAAGGTTTTGGCCTTATTCAATTAGTAGATGTACAGTTATCAGTGGGTGATAGAAAAGACATACATATGTCTGACTAAGAAAATATCACTCTTTTTAGAAGTTGCATATCTCTGCCTTTCTCCCTCCTTTTGTCTCTCTACTTAACTTATCATTTTTGTCTCAGTCCTTGGGCATCTGAATTCAGTTCCTGTAACATGATTGAAACTACTCAGGTGCCAGTTAATGACTTGGTGGTTAAGGCATTTGAATCCCACATGGCCAACTGTACAGTAGGAATCCTGGACCTTGAGTCCAGAATTTAAAACATGCTGGGAGTGTGTGTGTATGTGTGTGTGTGTGTGTGTGTGTGTGTACATGGCTCAGTGTGTGTACATGGCTCAAATCCCAAGAGGATGAAGAGAAAGAGGAGATAGTATTGCAGCATGGTCATCCTGGGGGGAGGGTGCTTTCTTGCTTTCATTCTCTCTCTCTCTCTCTTTCTCTCTCTCTTCTCTCTCTCTCTCTCTCTCTCTCTCTCTCTC